TCATACAAAATAGAAACGTGGTACTGGAGATCGAAGCCAGGGCCTCTGCACGGAGGTACATCCCCAGTTGTTGTTTTTTTTTTGTTTGTTTGTTTTGTTTTTTCCTGTACCGGGAATCGAACTCATGACCTTACACTTGCCAGGCAGGCGCTGTGCCGCTGAGCTAAATCCCTAGCCCCTCTTTTTTGTTTTGAGATAGGGTCTCGCTCAGTGCTGTCAGATGCCCAGGCTGGGTCTGAACTTTTGCCCTCCTGCCTTGGCCTCCTAGAGTGCTGGGATTTTGGTGTGCACTACCACACTAGGCTAGAAATGTTTACCATTTCAGGAGCTGAGAGATCCAAGATCAAGGTGTGATCAGATTTGCCGTCGGGCCAGTGCTCGCTTTCTGTGCACAGGTAGCGTCTTCTTGCTGTTTCCGCGGTGGAAGCGGAAGTGACCCCCTTGGGCTCACTGTATAAGGGGCCTTCACCCCACTTATGCAGGAGCTCATGACCTAATCACACACCAGAGTCCCCTTGCTCATCCCATCTCCTCGGGAGTTAGCGTTTTCACATATGAATCTTGGGGTGGACACTACCAGACCATAATCCCTAGTCTGTAAGGAGCTTTTGTCTTAGTTTCGATATGATGACATTGCTTTTGGCTGATTTTCATAAAAAGAGAGATGCTACCATTATGCAACTAGAACCAGAAACCCAAATTCAGAGATGGGTTTAAATCTTGACTCCACTGCTTTTTGTGCAACCTTGGGCAGAAGTTACTTCAACGTTTTCCTTTTTAATTTCCTCTTCTTTTATGGGGCTCTGAAAGGACTATGAACAGAACCTAAGGAGATGATGGTTGTAAAGGTCTGAGCACACGCTTGGCACCTTACATGCTCCATACAGAGGAGCTATGCCCGCGCCAGGTGTGACCACAACCTACCAGCAAGCTCTGCTTAACAGCTACTCAGCTGTTACTTAGGGGAAAAAATCTTCCAGATTTATATGATTACGGTAAAGAGATCAGGGGTTCCAAAAGTATGTTCTACAGGATACTACCACTCAAGAAACAGTTGCAGGGCAGGGATATAGCTCAGGCACAACGCCCGCCTCGCAAGCACAAGGTCCTGAGATCGATTCCTGGTGCCAAAAAGAAACGGTTGAGTGGTATGACTCAGCAACAGAGAGGGAGCTTACCGACAAATGATCGCCGGGCACTGTGCCCTGGGTACTGTGCCCCAGTCTGCCCTGTGCAGATCCTGGGCACATCCCTCCTCGGTGGTGTCACTGTGGGCCAGGCCAGGAGGGACGCAGGCACCGAGCAGCACTGCAGCATTGCAGGTGCACAGGGAACGGACGCCCTGAGTGGCTGCAGGACTGAGCCCATGGGCGTCCTGAGTGAAGACAAAGGAACTGGCGACCTTTCTGCACAGGGAGAAAATGCAGACCCTCAGGACCTAGGAGCCCTGTCTGCACAGCATGCGGAGGTGCTGTGCAAGCCCTTGGCCCAGATGAGGGGAGATTCTTTTCTCAAAGAATGTGGGAAGGTTTCCCTTCCTGACCTTAACGACCGAGGTGAGGAGGGTGGCGAGAGAGGCCTGCTCCTTTCTGGCACGGATGCGATGCTAAAGGCCCAGCGCGCCTGCGGCTCATGCTGGTGGACAGTGGGAGAGAAACTCCTGTGAGAAGACTTCCGACCCCAGCCCTCTACCCTTCTTGCCCTGGTTTTCTTTTGTTTGATTGGTTTTTGTCTTTTTGAGACAGGGTCTTGCTATACAGTTCAGGCTGGCCTTGAGCTCACTTTGTAGCCCAGGCTGGCTTCAGACACGCAGCGATCCTCTTGCCTCAGCCTCCCGAGTGCTGGGATTAAAGGCATGCACCACCGGCTAGAATCTGTTTTTACTTTTGTGTGTGTCTGTATCTACTATGATTTTCTATGTACAAAAGATGATGTCTTTCAGCATAGAACAGTTTTTCTTTTTTGTTTCCAATAAGGGTGTCTCTCTCTCTTTTTTTAATCACGAAATTGCCATGTTTAGGCCCTCTAGTGTTTTTTTCCCTTTCCCCTCAGATCCTGCTTCCCTCCGACGGGGTCCTCTCCCTCCAGACCCTGCTTCCTCAGACAGGATTCTCCACATAGGCCCTGCTTCTCTCCTCTCCTCAGCTGTTAGGTTTCCTAACTACAGAAGTGTCAGAGTCAGAGCAGTGCTGGCTGCAACATGGGCAGGGACCCTTTGGTGGTGGTGGTGGAGGAGAATTTTACAGACCCAGACCAGCTGCTCGGTAGCTCCGTCCCTGTGATTTTGTTTGATTTAGGCAAGTTTATGTGTTTCTCAAGTTTAACAATAAGGTTAGAACCAGGCAGACATGGTGATGCACACCTGCAATCCCCTCTGTGGAGGCGGAAGCAGTGTATGAGCATTACAAGTTCAAGGCGAACCTAGGGCCATAGTGAGTTCAAGGCCAGTCTGGACTACCCAGCAAGATGCTCTCCAAGAACAAAACAAAGCAGAACAAAAATGTTAAACTCTCCTTTGCATCCAGACAAGAACTTCCTCCCTCCTCCGAGGGAGGCCCTCTGCCCTGCTGTGCCCTCTCAGACCCTGACTGGAAGCCAGTCTTTTCCCTGACCTTTGGGAAAACACTCAGTATTTCACCAGAGCTACTGTTTTACTTGTAGGTTCTTGGTACCTACCTGACTGAACAAAACACCAGGCCCCGGACTGGACAAACTGAAAGCGCAGGAGACGTCACTGGGGGTCTCACTGGGGGTGGGGGGTGGGGCAGTCAGGGTGGCTCAGGGGACCATGTGGATTCTGGGTTGACCTCAGGGGCTCAGGCTCTCTGCGCCATCTGGTCAGCTCCCTGCAGGTTCGTCCTAGGCTCAGCTTGCTTTCGGGTTGAAAGCCATCTGCACAAGTCGTCAGACGATGGTGTCTCCTGGCTGAGGCCTACGGGGTGGGGAGAGGGTGAGACGGGGCGAGGGCGCCCGGAGGGAACCATCGCCTGCATCCCTGCTGGATCAGCGGGCAGCCCAGTCTTGCGACACAGCCTCCCTGGCTCTGTGACCTTCCTCAGGGAGCAGGACCCCTCCTGTCCTCCTAGTGGTCATCCTGCGGGGTGTAACAGAGAACAGGACATAAGCCGGCCTTGCTAGAGAGCAGACTGCAGGGTCCTTTCCTCCTGTCAGATTCCACCAGTGCTGTGATGACGGAACACTCCGTGTTTTCGTACTGGCGGTGGTCACAGGGAGTCGGCGCTTGAGGTAGCGCCGGGCCCCACCAAGAGTGCTTGGGTAATGATCAGGTCTGAATAAGGCCATCGTGCACACCAGGGTCAGTTTCATGGTTTTGATACTGTACTGCAGGATGCTAACGTTGAGGGAAGCATGCGGCCTCCTTGCCCTGCCTTTGAACTTCCTGTCACTCTATCATTATTTTAAAAAATTCTAGCTGGGCATGGTGGCATGTGCCTGAGAGTCCAGCACTCAGGAGGCTGAGGCAAAGGGTAGCAAGCTCAAGGCCAGCCTGCTCTACATAACAAGTGTGGGGCCAGCCTGGATCACAGAGCAAAGCACTGCCGTGGAAGGAAGAGAGGGGGGAGGTGGGCTGAGAGGCACTGGGACAGGAGCTGGGCCCTGCTTCCCGGAGGGTCCGTGTCCACCAGGCCGAGACTCCGCTGCGGGAGTGGCTGGACAGTGACCGCTCCGACCTCCCTGCGAAACACGCCTCAGAGGCAGCAAGCTCAGGCGGAGGCGCCCCTGCCTCGGGCACAGAGGAGGAGCCCCAGGAGTGGCCCGCCGTTCCTCCCGCTCGCACAAGGCCGGGGCGGCTGCCCAAACCGTCGCAAAACACCGGTAGGACCAGAGTCTGTCTTTAAATTTTTGATGATTTGTTCATGATGAGTTCTGGGCATTAATTTTGATTTATTAAAATGTTGCATTAAAATAGTACTCACCCAGCACTCAGGCCGAGGCAGGAGGATTGTAAATTTGAGGCCAGCCTGGCTAATTTAGAAAGACTTTGTTTTAGTTTTTTTAAAATTTTCATCCTAAAAAAAATTTCATCCTAATAAGTGAGGGTTTTGCTTTTGTTTTTGTTTTTTGTGCTGAGGATGGCACCTGGGCCAGGCACATGGCAGGTATGCCCTCTGCCATTGAGCTACATCCTCGCATCCTCTGTTTGTTTGTTCTTGAGACAGGGTCTTGCTATGTAGTCCGGGGTTGCCTGGAACTTTCGTCCATCCTCCTGCCTTAGGCTCCCCAGTGCTGGGATTCCAGGAATGTGCCACCATGCCTGGTACATCTCTTTTTTCTCCTTTGCCCTAGTCTCAGCCCTGTAGGGGCCTCTATTTATAAAACTTTTTGGTAAGTCATTCATTGAGCTCATCTATTGCTTTTATGGGGGGGGGGAAGCGTCTTACTATATAGCCCTGGCTGGCCTTGGACTCACTGTGTAGCCTAGGCTGGCCTCGGACTCACTGCGATCCTCCATGCCAAGCATCTCTTGCGTTTTGAATAGAATTTAGGTAAAAAAAGGTTTCATATAGCTGTATAACATAACTCACAAGCCTTTCTTCTTTTTCTTCCTTTTCTTCTCCTGTTCCCTTTCTGTCTCCGTCTGTCTCTCTTTTGGTCTTTCATACTGGAGGTTGAGTTCAGGGCCTTTGCCCTAAACTACATCCCCAGCCTTTTTTGCTTTTGGGTTTTAAACAGGGTCTCACTAAGTAGATTAGTTGTCCAGGCTGGGCTTGAACTTTCAATCCTCCTCCTCCTGCCTCAGCCTCCCAGAGTGCCAGGGTTATGGGCACATCCACAGTGCCCGTCCTTCTTCGTGCTTTTCTAAAGCCTGCAGATGCAATCAAATCCTTCTAGGACCGCAGGACCTGGTCTTCAGCGCCAAGACCATGATTCCTCCAGCTTCAGAAACTCCCTTCCAGCCAGCAGACATTCTTTATTCTGAAGAGGACTTTGTTCAACTCTGAGTAGGAGCTAAAATCTAAGTTATGTAAAAACAATTATAAAAAAAGCACTGCAGTTACTTTCTTCCGGTCCACTGGTACTTACTGAAAGTGCTTTTTTAAGAAACTGGTCTGACAGAAACTGCAAGTACAGGTAGCCGGAACCCCAAACAAATAACAATGTTAAAAAAAAAAAAGTAAGGAAAGAAAAGCACTTAGGTGCAGCACTTAAAGAGCTGCACGGCTGAGCTCCTATCTGGCCCTGAGTGTCCACCCTGCTGTGGTCTTTCCTCCTCCACAGTCAGACAGAGGTGCAGAGGGTCCTGGCTGCTCCTCCTCTCATGGCCAGCAGGGGTCCCACTGGGGGCGAAGACAGGGGCTGCCTGGTGAGCCTTCAGCGAGGTACAAAGGATTCTGTCCAGCAGTAGGTTAGTAAGGTAGACCAGGAAGGAAAAATGCAATAAAATATTTTGTGCCTTATTTTCTCTAAACACCTTGCAAAAAGCAAAACACAAAACCAAACCCAGTCCAGATGCTGCTCAAAGAGCTCATCCTCCGCCTGCAGATAACACGTGTACCTAACAATGTCCACCCACTGGGCCAGCCCCGTCCCTCCACCGCACAGCTGACCCTGCTTGTGCAGCCTTGGTCTGGGGTCTGCTGGGCCACAGCTCCATGCAACGCCACTGTGCAGGCCTCTGATTCACCAGGGCTTGGGGCCAGGCCTGGTGTGAGTCTGGTGTAACTGGCATTTCCAGCTTGTGTCTCCCCGAGCCCATGTTGCTCCAGATACTCCAGCAGCAACCTTTGAAAAAGGAGCCAGGCTGGGACAGAGGGATCAAGCTGCCTGGAGTCGAGACCCTGATAACCACTAAGCTGGCTGAGCCGGAAGGCAGAGCACACTGCACCCTTACATGCTGGGTGCTGGGTCCCTTGGGGGTGGTGGGGCTGTCACATCTGCAGCCACAACCAGAGGAGGCAGGACTTCTCTTCTGACCCGCTCCAAGCCAGGCACAGGCTGTGCTCTTGGCCCTCCTGCTAATACAGATACCACTGCTCTGCGAAGCCCAGGCCCCTCATCAGATCTTTCTGGACATCCAAGGTAGTTTCTCTCCACCCTTAGGTCACCTCGGTTACAACGCTCTGTTCTCTGCTGCCAGCATCCTGCGCCGTCACCCCACGTGCAGGGCAAAGGAGAGGAGAGCACTCCAGCCCCTCTGAGGGTTAGGTTTTAAAGGTTTACTTAGGTTTTACTAGGACTGAAGAGTAGTACACTAGGCCAGAAATGCCCCTTCCCCCAAAGACATTCACATCAGACCCCAGAATCTGTGAATTTTTATTTTGGGGACAGAAAAAGGTCTTTGGAGAGGTGATGAATGTAGGCACCTGGGCAGGAGGCAGGGGGTCAGCAGTACCCACGTGGGCCCTGTTGTGGTCAATACATTGTGTCCACTTGAGGAGTCCAGAAGCTTAAGGAAATGACTGGGCAGTTCTACACCCTGGGGTGAAAAGGACAGGCCCTTACCGCTCTGGGATGTTGCTCCTTGTGTCAGTGTGAGAAGTTTAGAAGGTTAACTAAGTGACTCGGCAGGGGGCCAGGGTGCTCACTTTGTATTCATCCTGGGCCTGTAGGGCTGGGATACAGCTCAGCGGCACAGCCCTTGCCTGGGAAGCACAAGGTGGTGAGTTCCATTCCTGGTACCACAAAAAAAAGAGAGAGAGACGGTATACATCCTGGGCCTGTGCGAGAGGACGGCATGGAGACGGTGTGAGTGCTACAGGCCCCCTGGGCGGGGGCAGTCTGCTTACAGTATAAGGGAGGGAAGAGGCTTGCTCCTCTCCCCTTTTTTTGCTCTTGTTGCTTTTGCTGTGTTGTCCCGCCTTCAAGTGTTGCCCTGTGCCCTGCCACCCTGCCTTGGAGCCAGCTGAGTGTGGACTGAAACCTCCACAAACTGTGAGCTACATAAACCTTTTCTCTCTCTTCCACGAAGAGGTGAGGAATAGATAGTACCTTAGAGGCCAAAGGGAGTGTGGGGCAGCTGACACTTTGACTCTGGGCAAGGGGCCTCCAGAACTGTGAGATGATAATTTTCTCTTTGTTAAACCACCTGGGAGCACGGGACACACAGGCACACACAGCACACATACCTCACCTACCTGGCTTCCTGATATGCCTGCATACATTTGGGGAGCAAGGACTTATTTTTAGGTGACATAAGGGGAGATGCCATCACAAATGGCATCCTGGTCGCCCTCCAACTCCTTGAGACAGTCTTCATGGCTAAAAGTTTCTCTTCCTCAATTTCCTGAAGACTCTGCCGTAAACCTTATTTTTACATTGCCAGATTGAACCGCAGCATACTCCTCACCTAAAGAACGAGATTTTGCAGAGTATAGTAATTTTAAATAAAGACACTCTATCAGTCATTCACCCATTGGTAGGACAAAATACCTGACACCCACAACTTACAAGAGAGGTTGGATTATGGTTTCAGAGGGTTCAGTCCATGTTTGGCTGGGTGGCACGGCAGAAGGACCAAGCAGAGGAAAGCTGCTCATCGTACAGCAGCTGGAAGCAGAGGAGAAGGGCGGAGCTGGGGACAACAATACAGTCTTCCAGGGACGCGCTGCCTCTGACTGGGACCCACCTTCTACCAGCACATTCACCTATGAGCTCATCAATGGGTGACAAGCTCACGCTCATCATCCAGTCATTTTCCAAATGCCCCACCTCTGAACACAGGACACATCTGTGGGACAATGTAGATCTAAACCACACCAGGTACCTCAAGCTGTGGTACAGGATGTGGTAGGGAACCCACGGCATGTGTACCACGGTGGACATGCAGAGCATGTCTTGGCATGTGAGCCAAGTTGCCCCAGCAAGGCCACATTGATTTTTCTAAACTAAAACCCCGGTATTCAGGTTTAATTGCAGTGTCGGCGCTGTGCGAGGAATAAGAGTGGATTTGGGGTTGCACTTCAGGCACTCGGTCTCTAAAGGGTTTGCCTTCACTGGTATATGGTGACCTACTATTGGGTGTTTTGGAAAATTCTTAGACAAAATATTGGATTTTGAACAGCATGACTGTGTAACAGCATGTCTAGTGTAAACTTATTCTTTAAAAAACTATTGGAAAAAAGTTTTTAAAAAAGTTAATGAATTGAAATCATTCAAATAACCCAAAGATCAAAGCATACAAAGGACTAGGGTGAAACTCCTCCTCCCATGCCTGTCCTCTAGCCACCAACTTCCCACCCTACCATCGCTTCCTTCTTCAAAGGAAATAGGTTGCTTCTCATTATCCTCCCAGAAATGTTCTCTGCACAGATAGTATTATCCTATGCACACTTGAAAACCTCCTAATTGAAGTATTGCATACACAAAGTGCACACCTCAATTAATTTTCTTCTGCCAGCTGTGTTTGTGCCACCACAGAAGCTCTCACTGTTGGAGGCCGTTCCGCGTGTTTTTGGTCCTTACATCCTTTGAGGGTCTCCACAATTCTCAGTGTCAGTGCCAACCTCTTGCTGTCTTGGTACTTGATGCAGTAGGGTGTCTTAGTCCGTTGTGCACTGCTGTAGCAATTCCTCAGTCTGGGCACTTTATAGAGAACAGAGATTTACTTCTTCAGATCTGGACTCTGGGAAGAGCAAGGTTCTGGGGCTCGCATCTGGGGACGGTGTCTCGCTGTGTCCCCAGGTGCAGAGGCAGAAGGAAGGGAGAGCATTCACAGGTGCAAGAAGGATGAGGGTCTGACCAGCCCTTTCACCAGGAGCCCACCCTCTCAGTAGCTCCCCATGAGGGGACCCCAGCAGGATTGCTTCCACTTCTCAGCACAGTCATGCTGGGGTTGTTTCCAACGTATGGGGGACTGTGAGGGCGCTTTCAAAGCATGGAATAAGATAACTTTGATTTTAATAGCTTAGGTTACCTTACGAAAATGGGATTATCCAGTAAGGTTGTGTGGCTTTTTCACTCAACATTATGTTCATGAGGCTCTTCCATATTTTAAAGAAATTTTTATTTATTTATCTATTTATTTTTATTTTTTGAGACAGGGTCTCGCTATGCAGTTCAGGCTGGCCTTGTGCTCACTGTGTAGCCCAAGTTGGCCTTGAACTTACAGTGATCCTCCTCCCCCATTCTCCCGAGTGCTGGGATTAGAGGTGTGTGCCACCACACCCAGCTAGTTCTTCCATATTGAAAAATGGTCCTAGTTTGTTCTTTTTCAGTAGTGTTTAATATTTCATTATTGTATTGCTGTTTTTGCAACTAGCTTTTTTCATTTTACAATGTATCTCAGCGAGATACTGTACTCATGATAAGGATATTCTGTTATCGTGATAAGGATATTCTGTATCATGATAAGGATAAGGAGTATCCTTATCTCTTTTTGTTAGTATTAGTATTGTATCGTGTAAATGTAATATCAGTTATTTTTTACTTGTCCTGTATGATAGACATTTAATAACAAACTGTATTTAAAACTGATACTTTCTTCTAGTAGAACAAGAACTAATTTGATAGTACTCTCAGTACTATGAAAATATTTTCACATGAAACATCACTTTTAGTGATATCTTATTTTAAAAAATATTTACTTGGAGCTGACATACTTAATTTTCAGAGAACCTAGGTGCAGGGAACCCCAAGTGCCCCATGAGTAAATGACCCACACAGCCCAGAGGACAAGTGGAAGGAGGGTGGGACCGGAGCTTGAGAAACAAGTTAGTTCTTCTGATCCCGGATGAGCCATGATCCGGGACCCAGCCCGGGGCCGTACGCCTCACCTGTCAGCCACGGTGGCTTTCAGGTTTCTGTGCTGAGAAACCAGAACAGAGAAACTCCGACTCGTGAAGAAAACCTGAAATTCTTCTGTATTTGGGTCATAAACATTTCAGCAAGAGCAGAAAGCAGAGGTGTCTCAGGTGACATTAATAAAATACCCTACTCCTTTGATGTCACTGTAGGAAGCTGTTGACTCATTTACGAGCAAGCCTCTACTTCAGACACAAAGAATTACTGTGGAATAAACACGTTCCCGCGTGAGTTTTGTTGTCAGTTACTTTCAAATGACTTTTCTCTGCAAGTTCATTAACGGTGACAGGTCAGATTTTTCCTTGAGATAATGTATGAACAGCAAGACTGACATTAACCAGATGCTTCTCATCTACGCTTTCACATATGTAAATGAATTACTTCAGAGACTCTTTGATTCTCTCTCCAGTTCACACACGAAAGGTAGTTTCACCACAGAATTAATCTGAAAAACAGTTACGTGGTGTATTAGTCCCAAAATTGGGCTGTGTAAAATGCTGTGTGAAAGCAACAATCAAAATCTCACTATTCAGATTGCGTACCATGGCCAGTTCCGCAATAGTCAGTCTCCTGTTTGTTGTGGTTGCTAACTCTGCCTGAGTGGGAAAATCAAATTGTGTGGGTTTTTTTTTCTCCGGTACCGGGAACCGAACTCACGACCTCGCGCTTGCCAGGCAGGCGATTTTGCCGCTGAGCTAAATCCCCAGCCCCCAAATTGTGTGGTTTGAATTTTTGTTTGTAAACTCATTTCTAGTGGGAATTTTTTTCCCCAGTATTGGGGATTGAACCCAGTGTCTTGAGCATACTAGGCAAGCCCTCTACCATTAAGTTGCATCCTCAACCCTTTTTATTTAATTAATTAATTAATTAATTTTTTTGGTGCCAGGAATAAAACTCAGGACCTTGTTCTTGCCAGACAGGCACTGTGCTGCTGAGCTATATCCCCGGCCCTATTTTGTTTTATTTTATTATTTTTGAGACAGGGTCTTGCTGTGTAGTTCAGGTTGGCTTTGAGCTCACTATGTAACCCAGGCTGGCCTTGACCTTGTGGCAATCCTCCTGCCTCAGCCTCCCAAGTGCTGGGAATACAGGCATGTGCCACCACACCCAGCTACCATTTTATTTTATTTTGAGGAGGGTATTTCTAAGTTGCCCAGGCTGGTCTGGAACTTGTGATCCTCCTGCATCAGCCTCCTAAGTAGCTGTGGTTACAGGCATGCATAGTAAAAATTTTTTGCTGTGAATTTCTCATGAACCCCAGTAGTGGAAATGTCTCTAAAAGGCAGTTTCTTTAGTTTTACCAGACTCCTGAGGGTTTCAGTGGTATTGATCAGTTTTTATATTAATTTGTTATTTCATGTGATTAAGGTCCCTACAGCACATAGGCAGTGTAATTCCTAGGTCTTGGGCTTTGATTCTTATAAATAACTTTTGTTTTTTTTGTTGTTGTTGTTTTGGGTCAGGGTCTTGCTATGCAGTTCAGGCTGGCCTTGAGCTCATTTTGTGGCCCAGGCTGGTAATGAACTTGAAAAGATCCTCCTGCTCCTGCCTCCCAAATGCTGGGATTGCAGTCATGTGCCACCATGCTTGGCAAATAGCATATTTTATAGAAACCTAACATCTCAGACACAAGAAAGCTGCAGAATTCATCTCCCTGGGATCTTGGGAAGAGTTTTTCTAGGTCTTGGTTTATGGACAAGACAGTGTTCCAGGATTCACTTCAATGTTCCAGGATTTATCTGGAGTCCAAATTCTAGCTCCCCTATCCCATATAACAAAACCTTCAAGTTTTCTGTCCTTAACCCTGTCTCCTGGGTTTGTATGTGAGTCTAAAAAAAAAGTAATTGTAGATGGAGAGCAAGTGATAAGAAATATAATTGAATCAACTTAACCAGGAGTTTTATTTTGTAAGTGCTTAACTTGAGGTGATCTGTGACCCTGGGATTGTCGTCAAATTCTCTATCTATGAATGACATCGCAGAGCCACTGTAACATAGCATACAGATGCATGCTCAGTGTTCATGTGGGCAAGACCTCCTTCTTCAATTGGGGGCAAGAATCACCCTGCATAAGCGGAAGTTGCCCCCACTCCTGCGGGGCAGAGGTCAGGAAGAGCAGCTCCCGGTGAAGGGGAAACCTGATCTTGGAGCCAGTCAAGCAGGGGTTCAAGTCCTGGCTCTGACACTTACAAACTGTGTGACTTTGGGAAGTTAAGTTGTTTTTTTTTTTAATTTGAAAGAGAAAAAAAACAATGATACAGAATTTCAGAACAAGATAACAGGAAATTAACAATGGTTATTCTATTACATATTGTTATCTTCAAAGTAGTTGCTCAGATTATAAGATATAGGCATGCAAAATTGTTCAAACAGTATACACACAAACTGTTCCTTTCAGTGAATAGAAATTAGTAGTATAATTATCTTGGCTATTGTGTGTATGTATATATATATATATATTTTTTTTTCTTTTCCCTTCCTTCTTTTCTCCTTTCCCCCATCCCAGTTGTTCTTTCCTTCACAGCAGTTTCTTTCCCTTTCACAATATCCATTATACATTTTGGGTCTTACTCTTTCAATTTCTTATACTAGGGAGAGAACATGATGTTTACACATGAGTCTGGTTTATTTCACTTTGCGTATAGTCTCTAGTTGCATCCATTTACCTATAAAAGCCTTAAGTTTATCCTTCTTTGTACCTGAGTAGTACTCCACTGTACGTTTGATCTTAGCCAAAAGGCCGAGAAGTGATTACTACTCCATTGTACAAAAATACCA